TTATGTGCTGGATTGTCTCAGGGGCATCTTTACACAGCCTGCACCTGGGGTCTTGCCTGGTGTGATAGACCCCAGCCTCTATGGATCTTGTGCTCAGAGCTTGTTCCTGTGCTGCCATGATTAGTGCCTTTGTGCTGTCTTTCAGTCCAGGATTTCTGGATGTTTGGATGATTATTGAATATGTATGTATTTTCTTACAGTGCAGGACCTCCTGGTAGAGGACTCAAGCTTGAGGAACACAAACATATCACCTAACAGCGGGGTTAGATGAAGATTTTCATAGATACAACCTTTAGTAACTCATATTTGTCACTAATTAGTCTTGTGATATTCCAAAACTGAACCTTTAGAGTTCTGTAATGAAGAATTTCTACCTGTGTCAAAGTCCCCTGATGAAAAAGATGAATGTGTGGTAGAAAAAGAAACAGAGTAGATCCATCAAACATACGGGTTCTTCAGTGTCTGTTACACTGCTGCAATACCAATTCCCCTTAGGAAGAAGTAGAGTACTTAATTTACCGAATGATGGATTGATTATGCATGGCTGCCATTCACTGACCGTGTCACTGGAAGCACAAAGATAAATGCAGGAGCAGTCTGTCTGCTCAGAACTCAGCTGAAGCCCATTGAACATGACATCATCATTAAGCACACGCCAATCCTAAATACATATGGACAGCATTCAAAAAGCTGTAGAAGGTGAAGTGTTCTGCCTGTCCAAAGTTTGGTGTTTATTTATTGTTTGGTTTGTTTGTGCCAGCTGATTATTTCAGACGGATGATCTGATATCCTCGTGTTGGTGTTGTTCCCAGACCATCATGAAAATGTTGTTCCAGGTTCAACATTGCAAGTGACCAATCACATTGTTGTGACGTTATTCCATTCGTGCATTTATGAAATTCCAGTGAGGCAAGGACAATATCAATTCTGCTTACTGTTTATTAAAGGGTTACAGTTAGGGTTAGGGTCAGGGTCCGTTGATCGGCGGACAGAGACGGTTTCACGCAGTTTAAGTACAGTTTTTTGTTTTACGCCGTTTTTTCCCGAAGTCGCAAAAGTATGACGTCACAACATTCTGATTGGTCACTTGCAATGTTGATCCTGGAACAACATTTAGTATGATGATCTGGGAACAACACCAACACGAGGATATCAGATCAACCATTTCAGACACTGTTGCATAAATGAATGGAAACACACTACAGCGTAGGTGTCCAAGATAATGAAGTGTGACTGTTACCCATTTATCAGTAACAACAACATTCTGTGGCACAGAAGGAATGAAACAGGAATCACAGTGTCGGGCCTTCAAAAACACTGATTAGTGGGATACAGGTATAGTGTTTTATATTTTCATTTGATTGGTGGCAACTGCACATGATATGACTCAATTTAAGAGTAACAGCCGGAGATAATTATCAAAATAAATAATAATCACCAATAATAAAACGTAAAATGAATGGTTAAATAAACTTTTTTTAAAAAACGTACCATCATATATATTTATATGATAACTGGAGTCAACTACATTTTACATTTAGTTAGCTTGTAACACTCAAGTTATTTTTTTATACAGTTTGTTACTGATCAGTGAGTAAATGGTAAATGGCCCGTTTCTACTTTAGCACTCAAAGCACTTTATAAAACATGCCTCATCAACAACTTGGGGTTCAGTATCTTTCCCAAAGATACTTTAGCATGCAGACTGAGGCACCCAGGAATTGAATCCCCAGGTTCCATTTACCACCATCCAATCAGTAGATCTAATTATGGAATTGACCGTGCTAGCTCCTGAGCTACAGCCTACAAAATTTTGAGTGGAAATCTTGTTAATAAAACTTTATCAACATCATTCGATGTCACAGTTTAACATCCTCTGATTAGTGTGTACTTTTTGGATGCAACCTTAATTTTACAATCAGACATATTTTGAGTCTAAATATAACCAAAGAAAAAATAAGACCAGTTTCCAGGTTAACAGTCTTGATTTAAAACAGTCCACCTGCTAATTATAACGTTCCAAACAAACGTGATATTCATTATGATCATTTCATTCTTTGTTGTAGTGAAATAATTTGTAAAGGCTTTTACGTTTTATTAACCATGGTTATTGTATTTCAATAATAAAGTCAAAACACGCAGTGGTTGGTTTTCAAAACACACAAAATCGTTTAATTTTTAACAGGACAAAAAAAAAAAAAAAATACAAATAAAATAAACACTCCATGCTCAATAGATAAGAATAATAACATAACAATAAGCAGTCATTACCTAAAATGATAATTACTTCAAGCCATGGCACAAGGGTCAGTGCTGGATCATTTCATAGAAGAATCAGTAAAGTCTCAGATAATCTCCGTCGTACCAGCTGTTTCAAAGACATGTGTAGGATTTCCTCATTATTTGCACATGCTAATTCTAAGAAGTGCAAAGTACAAACACTGTGGCCTGTGTGCTCTAACACGGTGGTGAACTGTGAAGACGTCATTGAACTTCCACTACACCCAAAGCCTTTTCTATTTGACTTGGATCCAGAAGTAAAGATGACAATAAAAATAGAAAAACTTTAATGAACATCAGTTTTTTTTTATGCCAAACACTAAAATAATATTTTCTCCTCATAAATCAAAAGTCATCCACTGAATAAGATGAAGCAAAACTTCTGCATAAAACAATAAAAGACATGTCACAGAAACAGAAATGGAGTTCCTGTCTGTTGTAAACCATCCAGTGTCTGGTTTCTTAAAAATTATGAATAAATACTAATATCATAATTTTTATGTGAATTTGCGATGCTCTCCAGAACTGAAGCTGTTGATTTACCAGTCAGTCTGCATCCCTACCCTCACCCAGCTTTGGAATGAGACTGTGGATACAAGGGGCAGGAACGAGCTTTCTCTGAAGCTGGACTCAGGCTCAGAGATGGTGTGAAAAGTTCAGTCTCTGTCATCGCTGTACCTGTTATCTGTCAGCTCAGACAGCTTCACAGTCAGTAACACAAACTGCTGCGCTTAAGGGATGAGTGCCTAGTATTTGACCTAAGATCAACAGTACTCTGAAATGGTAAACACGGTCAGTCACATACTATAATTCTATCATAAGCTATTTATCCATCAGATGCATTCACCATCAGCAGAAACCTCTGTGATCTGATGGAAACATCTTTGAGGTATTTTGTAGAGGAGCAGGAATGAGTTAGAAATACTGTCAGGACTGAGCTTCGTACAGGTTGTTCTTCTAGTTCTCAGCACCCTTCATCACTTTGTTGGCTCATAGCATTGAAACAGCATTTGTATCTGTGGCACTTTGAAAAAGGCTTAAAGATGTGGCACTTGGCTGCTTCACTGTTTTATTATTATGACGTCATTTCCTTTACATGTTTGTTTCGCTCCAGCAGACCTTTTTGAAATTTTAGACCGAAACATTTGACGATAATTATGAAATAATGTTATGAGTCTCTTGGCCAAGTCAGGGTTAAAAGGCAGCTTATGATACTTCCTGTCTCAATATCAAGACTACTGAATTTCATAACATGACCGGTAATGAGAGCTAAATATTCTTACATTCATTTGGAAGCTCTGCCATCCAGAGTAATCACCGTGTGTTTTAAAGGTGCAGTATGTAAAATATGGTTCCAGTCCTAAGCCCAAATAAAAGGGGAGGGTTGTGTCAGCAGTGGGATTCTGCCAAATCAAACATCAACAAGAATGAGATTTCTGTATCGGGTCAGTCAGAGCTTGGGTTAACAACTACAACCTCCGGTGTGTTGGCAAGCATGCTGTCCAAGGAAACTGTGTGCTGTTGCCCCAAACATAGGAGGAGAGGGTGAAAACCTTGGAGGCAGGGAGAAAGAAGGCAGGAGTGTGGAGGTAGGGACTTTACATGTACTATGGGACTGGTAAGGAGGGCAGATGTAACTGGTAACTGGAGCAGATGTTAGTAGACAGAGTTTATGAGCAGATGTTGGGTAGACATGGGTTAGCCCAGGGGTCTGCAACCTTTAACACCAAAGAGCCATTTGGACCCGGTTTCCACGCAGAAGAAAACACTGGAAGCTGCAAATACTTGTTGACATCTAAAATGAAGATAACACTGTATATATTGTTTTTTACTTTTATGCTTTGTGTGAACAACTAAGGTGTGTTGCTTATGAAATCCATGAAGTGCTACAGAGAAAATTACATTTTATTTATGTAATGAACACACTTTTAACTCTGAAAGAAATATAACAAAAGCAAAGACACCCAGCTGAACTAAAATGATCCAGCAAACAAAAACTGCTGTGAGCCACCCTCCTTATATCGCCTTTGGGCTTTTGGAGCCTTGACCTGACTTTTAAAAAATAACTGGGAAAAAAGCTCTATGCTGCTGAAAAAAGAAAGAAAAATAAATATTTACAAAATTCTAAATATGTATTTTACCTGGTTAATGTGTGTGGCGGGGCGTGGTCTGCAGCGCCGCTGCAGGGGAGGCGGATGCACCTGAGCAGCACCCGCAATCACGCCTCGCCGCCTTAACGTCTGTGCGATCTATGCTGTTGTGTTGGTGTGTGTCGGGCTGTGAGCTGCAAAGCTACAGCCGGCTGTGTGCGTACGGCAAGGTCTGCCGTGATATGTTTACAACGGGACTTCTGCTCCTGAACCTCTGCGCACAGCGTCTTCAAATCGGGGCTGTACGAAGTCACTTTCATCTTTACGCAGGACTGTAAGCTGTCGTCTGTGAGGCGTGAGCGGTGTTTGTTTTAACATAGTTCACGGTGGAGCTGCTGACATAATGTGGATCCGAAGATCCATAACTGGCCAACCTGGGGTTGAAAGTCTCGATAAATTAATGGTGTTTCGGCGAGTACGCCGGCTCCCGCGAGTGTGACGCTTATTTTGAGCAATGAAGAAATAATAGAATATAATTGTATTTTTGTATTTCAACATCACAATAATCTAACAATTTAGAACTACAAGTTAAAAAAGAACTAACATAAATAAAATACACTTCAGCTAAATACTTCTAATTTATTTTCCCAAACCACGCGGAGCCCCACTGTAAGGACTAAAGAGCCGCATGTTGCCGACCCCTGGGTTAGGGTATACTGGTGGTGTGTGGGAAGGCAGAGGTAAGTACTAAATGGCAGTAACTGAAGAAAGAAGAATATTATCCAGGAGGAGCTGAGACAGGTTCTGGGTTTTAGGGACGAATTACCAGATGACTGGGAAAGTAAAGCCCAAGTGGTGAGTGAAACAGTCAAGAAGGTATTTAGTGTATCTCGTGGACAGAGGAAAGAAGACAAGGAGACCTCTCTTGTGGTGGAATGAGAAAGTATAGAAAGGTATCTCAAAGAGAAGTGGAATAATCAGGGAAATGGAGAAAGCAGACAGGAGTGGCGGGATGTCAGGTGTCCAGCAAAGAGCGAGGTTTTACAGCAAAATAAACTGGAAACGAAAAGGCTTATAGTTGTATGAGTTATATGTGATCCCGGACAGAGAAAAGGACATGTACTGATTGGCTAGGCAGAGAGAGGAAGCTGTAATGATGTGACGTGGGTTAAGACTAAGGATAGACAGCAGAGTACTAAGACGTGTGTTTCATCTTTGTAACACACTGTTGAGGAGTAAAAGGAATACGCTGAGGGACTAATGAATGAAGAACATGAGAGAGAATCAGGAAGTGATGATTCGAAAGGAGAACGTGAGGGCAGCTACGAAGCAGAGTGGGAGGCAAATGGTCCGATGACACACCTGTGGAGGTATAAAAAGGTCCAGGAGAGACTGTAGTGGACTTTTGTTAACAGAGAAGTATACAGAAGGTCAGAAGGAAATCTAGAGAAAACATATGCTAGGGTGCCTGAAACTAACTGTGGTACTACGTTAGGAAGTCAGGAGTGGCAGAGACATATGTGAGGGTGGTGCAGGACATGTATGAGGACAGACACTGAGGTGTGAGGTAAGAGTTGTGTTTTATTGTTTGGACAGTATCTGTTAAGAAGAGTCATTATAGACAGCAAGCTTCATTTAAATCATCTACAAAGATTTTACTGCAGTTATGATTCAGAGAGAAAATATGTTTTTGACTAATTATTTTTTAATGGGATTGTACCAGTTTGTGATAAAACATGGGGAATGGTCACTTACATCATTTAGTTGTCCACTTTTGACATTCTTGCCAAGAACATTTGTAAATAATGAGTTTAGGACAGTGTGAGGTGATTTTCATTGAACGAGTGACTGAGGGATAGATGCAGACTACTGTATACTGTATGTAGGAAATCTGTAACTGATCTGTATCAGACTTACATTAAATTGACATTCAAATATAAACCATTTTCTTATCATTGAGAGGATCATATGACCCTAACGGTAAACGTTTTATACATGATCCAGGGGTCATGATTCGTTTCCTTCGTTTTCTTTTTCCGTCTGTCGGGTTCATTCTGTTTGACAGCCTGACAGCATTCCAAGAGAGGAACTGGGATATTATATGAGGAAATTAGGAGTGGCAGAGCAGCAGGTGAGGGCTGCACAGGACATATATGAGAACAGCAAGGCAGCGGTGAGGTGTGCATAGGAGTGACAGATGGGATCAAGGTGGGGGTGGAACTACACCAGGGATCAGCTGTTGGTTGCAATGGTGATGGGCAGGTAAAGAGATGAGCTCAGGCAGGAGTCCTCCTGGCTATGACGTGTGTGGATAAAACTTTTATCTGTAGTGAGAGTGGGGGAGCAGGTGGAAGAAAGCCTGCAGAGGTGGAGGTATGCAATGAAGACAAGAGGAATAGAAGTTAATACAGCAACATTTATGTGACGTTCTCTGTCACAAATACTGTCTCACGTGCTTCTCAGAGGCGATCAAACCATCAGCCTTCCCATTGAAAAACAAACCCGCTCTACCTGCTAAGCCACACCCACCCTCATGATGATGTCATGTTTGGTATGTGCCACCATGTAAAAAGATGACAACAGCACAAATTTGCTGTTGGCCAAACATTTAGGCTAACTGCTCAGTAGATATCTGCAGGTGAGTTTTATCAGGTGTTGGTAAGAGTTACTATTTTTCCTGCTCTATTGACCATCAATTTTAGATAATGCACCTTTAACAACTAATTAATACTAACTAATAACTAATCCGTTTGTATTTTGTATGTGTTATTCCCTACCGAATATAAACTGCGATATTTCATTTTTAAGCTAAAATGAAAAGTTCAGGTTTCCAGATGTCTCGGAGCTCATGTTGTAGGATCCATCTCTGCACTACAGAACCTACAGGAGAATGTTTTTTCACGTCATAAAATTCCCAACAATAGTGACCTGCTGAAAATGCAATGTACAGCATACTGAGTAAATTACAGATAACGATGTTACAATTATTATCTGAACACTAATGAGTGGACACTTGAGGTAAAAGATGAATTTAAAACAAGGTTGACATCCAAATATGTCTCAGTGTAGTAATGGCATCAGAATGGTCATGGATCCTTTCAGCCACAGAAACAGTTCATACATGTAGAGTTTCCACAGGCTGAGAGACTCGGCCAGCGTGATCTGCACACGCCTTCTCCTGCTCTGAGTTTTAGTCCTCTTGTGCCTGTCAGACAAAGCAGAAGAAAGAGGAAGTGGTTATGCCTTTGGCACAGTCTGGGTCATAAAATCAAGATTTCTCTCAAAAGCCATTTCTCATGAGTTTCACACAAAATCACAGACAATTGCACGAGCCATCATCTGTTTACCACTGTGGGAATAGTGAGGACGTTTGCACTGTGATGCACAGAAGAATGAATCAATGTGCTCTGTACATGTTCAAAGCGTTAGGAAAATACATTTTAAAATGTTGTCAAAGGAGCTTGCAAAGAAAAGCGTCTGGACTTCTTTAAGTTACTTGAAGACGTTAATTTAAAGAAGTCCAGACGCTTTTCTTTGCAAGCTCCTTTGACTACGATGACCTGGATGACTGAGAATCTTCACAGACATTTTAAAATGTTGTTGCCAAACACACAAACAGAATATGGTGCAATCAAAAGAAACCACATTTATTTGTAAAGTTTTGTTGTTTTTTGGATGACAGTGGTAAGATGTTAATGAACACACAAATGAGAATTTACTTTCATCAGCAGCCCATGGAGCCCTTCACTTCAAGCCCAGGTTCTCATACCATTAGTCATGGATAAATTGGTATTGAATATTTGGATTCTTGACATTGTTCATCTAAATGGAACCAACCTGCAGCCCAACTGGACCTTTGGGTAGTTTCATAGATGTAGTTTTCTTTAGCCACATTCCCTCACTATCCTCTGTTCATTTAAGCTGCACAAACCCAGTGAGATGTGCTGTCCACATTGGAGAGTCCATTTGGTTCTTGGGTGTCCTATTTCAATTTTTAAAAACTGATGCAATTAGAACAGGTGATACCACATTTTATCAAAAGGTTTTTTCAGTGCTCCAAGGAGCACAAAGAATATTTCATTCACCTCCATTACATGTATGAAATCTAAGTCTTGGTCAAACTGTCACTCAAAGTAACCTCCACATGTTTGCAACATACAGCAAACAAAACACCCTGGTTATTATATTTGATTCTTTTTCCACCTACCATAAAGCAAAAAGTTTGCAGTTTGAAAACAAGGTAACCTCTAAAGAGCCGTCACTCATGTAAATTCTATGTTACCAGTGAAACATGTCAAAACTCACAGACCAGCCAAGACTTTGATATGTTAACAGATTCTTATGTCATGTCTTATGTCACCTCTTTCTGAAAGTACATTTCTTACCTGGCTATGGCTCGTATGCAGCAGCGGGACATGTTGATGAAGGATGAGGATGAGGCCCTGGTCTGTAGCGTGGTCTCAATGCCTCGCAGCAGGTCATTGGTCTTCAGCAGCAACAGCATCTGCCGGGGAACTCTGTTCAACAAGTCGCTGATCTGGGGCAGGTACAGGCCTGCATTGGTCCTTATCTCAATATCCTGCCAAGTAAGACACGCAACAGGAAAAGTAAAACTCAGGTTGCATGTATATGTGTAAGTCCATCAATGGCTGCTTATACCCAGTGAGTGTGAAAAAGATAAAACACTTGAAGTGGACAGAACAAGGAGAAGGAATTGGCTGATCTTATCAAACTGTAATATTTTCATATAATCAGACGAAGCAGGCCCCCGGGTCAAAGTACTGTTACTGACTATTAATAATGGCTCGTGGCTACATACGACAGATGACACTGACAGTGTAGGCTGATCAGTTGCTTCAAGTCACTACTTTGGCTCTCGGAGGAGGCGGACGCACTTTTTCTCCTCTCCCTTATCTTCCCTGCTTATGTCCTTGTCTTGTCTCGTGTGTTTTTTTGTATTACTTTCCCTGGAACACTCTCTCACAGTCTGTTTCTAAAACCTAAAGAGAAGTCTGGGCTCGGGAGAGCCCGAGTGCCCTGGAGGTACTTTCCCTGCCGGATACACGATGGACGGGTGGCAGACATGGAGGATCGTGTGCCTGGCGGGACTGTCGATCGAGGACGCTGAAGATATCTACCTATTTGGAAGCATGATAACAGGGTTCTTGCTGATCGGAGCTGGCTTGGCCCTGGCTTATTGGAGAATTAAGAAAGCCGAACCGGCTGTTCAAACCCCCCAAGGCTGCCTGCTGGGATTAGAACGATGGGACAAGGCGCAACTTCTCAGAAAGGGCTCACTGAGTGCAGCATGGTTAAGAGCTTGGAGGCGCTAACGGCTGCAGTGAAGGCTCAGAATAACACCTCTGGGCGGAAGCTGGATTACATCGCGGATCAGTTGGCTGCGGTCGTGAGGTCTCAGAATCTGCTCTGTGAGCAAAAGCCTGAATAGACCACGGAATAGAAGGTAAATATCATCATGGAGAAACTCGCAGCTATTAACGGGAGATTGAGAGACCAGTGTCGGAGTGTTAAAGAACAGCTTTGAAATTCTCATGAGTTGTTGCAAAAGACAAACCACCATCATAATGCGGCTATCTCCCTTCGGCGCCAGCTGTGGGCTCAAGGCTGGAGCTGAACAAAAACTCCCTGATAACGACTGTGTTGAGTTTGTTCTTCCCATTCCTTGCAAGGCCACCTGGGTTGGCTGGAAGACTGTTTACTTAGCCTGGCAGGGCGAAGGACACTGTCTCAGCTGAACTATGGACACACACATACACACACACACATACATATACTGATACTGATAAGCACTCACTGACGCATCACCCTCCCTACCCTGGATCCAATGCCACCTCCAACGCTTACCTCCCCTCTGATGTGGACATCGGGTCAGTTGGAGGCGCAGTCGAAAGATTGCAGCGGCCCCAGATCAGATGTACACACTGGAACACTTTCCCATGTTGCTGTCTGTGTTTATTGTGCTGTGGTGTGTTGATATCTGTGCATTCCTGTATTATCCTTCTGTGTTGCACATTTCAATGTTTTTTTTTCCTCGCTACCTAGCCTGACCTGTCTCCCCAATGTGATGTTTGTGTATTGTATGTACGGTCGGCAAGGTCTGTCATCTCGGTTGTGGGCAAAAGACCTGCAACTGACAAATAAAGGCCATCATCATCATCATCATCAACTTTTAATCGCCACATGCAGTAAACTGCAGTGAAATGAACCCGCCCCCCGACCTTACACACACAACACAGACATCACATGGGGATACAAGTCAGAGAACGGTTGCATTACAGAAAAAAACACTGAAATGTACACTACAATGGGAAAAGTACAAGAGGAAAAAAAGAGACCTCTGCTCATGCTGGGCTATAGAGGACAGCATGAGAACAGGAAACAAAAAAACTCCTCTGCACAAAAAAGCACTTAAATGTCCACAGCACAACATTATAGAGCACGTGACCAGCAACAGGGTTGGGTAGGGGAAAGGAGTAATCCCAGGCAACACAGCAGCCATCCTGCCACTGCGCCGACTCACCAGCGTGGGCCCAGACCCGCCTCGTGTTCCCAGGAGGCAACAAGCATCGAAGGCATTGGAAGGGGAGGGGGGATGTGTGAGTGCTTATCAGTGTAAGTGTATGTGTGTGCGTGTCCATAGTTCAGCTGAGACAGTGTCCTTCACCCTATCAGGCTAAGTAAACAGTCTTCCAGCCAAACCAGGTGGCCTTGCATGGGATGGGAAGGAACAGACTCAACACAGTCGTTATCAGGGAGTTTTTGTGCGGCTCCAGCCTTGAGCCGTGCAGCTGGCGCCGTGGTGTTCGCATGTTGATGCCGTTGATTTTTCTTTTATGCGAGCAGCTTAGGAGAATTTCAAACCTGATCTTTAACACTCTGACACTGGTCTCCCAATCTCCCGTTGTAGAGCCGCGAGCCTCCCCAAGATGGTATCAAACTTCTGGTCCGTGGTGTTGTCATTCTTGTGATTCTGAGACCCCACAACTGCAGTGAGCCGTTCTGCGATGTGATCCAACTTTTGCTCAAGGGTCTCATTTTGAGCAGGCCTCTCTCTGATGTATCCCATCATACGCTCAATGGTGTTATTTTGAGTCTTCAGGGCAGCTGTAAGCGTCTCCAAGGTGTTAACCATGCTGTGTTCGTTGTGAGAAGTCGCGCCTCAACCCATCGCTTCAATCCCAGCGGGCAGCCTTGGGGGGGTTTGAACAGCTGGTTCGGCTTTCTTAATTCTCCGATAAGCCAGGGCCAAGCCAGCTCCGATCAGCAAGAACCCTGTTATCATGGTTCCAAATAGGTAGATATCTTCAGCGTCCTCGATCGACAGTCCCGCCAGGCACATGATCCTCCAGTTCTGCCACCCGTCCATCGTGTATCCGTCAGGGAAAGTACCTCCAGGGCACTCAGGCTCTCCCGAGCCCAGACTCCTCGTTGAGAAAAGGGTGTCAATAGCATTCAGAGACCAGTTGATCAAATCCATAATTCTCTTTTAGGTTTTAGAGAATGACAGTGACAGACTGTTCGAGGGAAAGTAATACACACGAGACAAGACAAGGACATAAGAGGCTAAGCAGGGAAGATAAGGGTGAGGAGGAGAGGAGAAAAGTGCGACCGCCTTCGCCAAGAGCCAAACGAGAATAGGCCATCTCATCACATCATTATTGTTCTGTCTAAAGCAATCGATGTGTCAATACAAATTACTCTTCCACATGTCATCAGCCATGTTGGCCTTTCTATTTAACATCAAGTCATCAAGAACATTAACAAAACATCCCAGTTATAAAGTGACGTCAACATTTTAAATCTATTTTTGCAGTACACTATAAAAATATCTGTAACACGTTTAACACGTTTAAGTAATAGGTTTTACTTTGAATTTTTCTGTTATTTTTAAATATGTGATATATATGTATAAAATTACAAGAATAAAAATGTACCTTTGTATAAAAATAACTTTTTACATTTAAATTATAGAAAGTGTAAAGTGTATTTTTTCTACACACAAAAAACTGCAAAACAGTCACAAGTTTAAAACAATTTCACAAATATGTTTATTTAAAAGATTAAACTGTTAAATTCTGTTGTTATGCTGTAAATACATAACTAAAATTTGACTCACTTATTATAATATGACATGCAAAAGTGATGGGACAAAAGCTATGAATGTTTTTTATGAGTACAGAACATCTGGGAACCAAAAAGGTGCTGCTGAACTAGGCCCCGGTCCGGATGGGCCTGGGCCCCCTTTGGCGGGTTGCAGAGTATGGGGGTGCCACTAAATTATTGAAGTTCAATAATTTATGTTTTTTTAACACATGACAGTGGTGGTGGGAAGTCTGTTTTTTGTCAAGTAGTTTTAAACTTCTTTTATAAATGTTTTCAATAGTTTTAAGTGTTGTTGGACAAGCAAGTGACCAGGACGTCAAACAATCCGGTCGTTAAGTGATGACGTGACGAATCCTACTTCCGGGTCTAAAGTAGTCTGTGTTTAATATGGCATTTGTGTTGTTAACATGTTTAATGTTATGTATTTTCTTCTATTTAATCTCAAAAAGCTCCTAAAACAGTCAGTGATCACTGTTGACCTCCCTCGGCTTTTATTACCGCTAATCATTTATTTAAGCTCAGTTTTTAAAACCTTAGGATGTAACTACAGCCCAGCCCATGCAGCAGTATATGAATGACTAACCTCGTATTGTGGATGGATTATCTCAGTTGTTCTCCTGGCTGAAGTTTGGTCCTTTTACAGCATCCTGCCATGCGATTACATTTGTTCCTGACCACCGAGAACACTCACGTTAACTTTTATCGAGTGGAAAAAAAGTTAGCTTGTTTATATTATACTAACATAGCTGTGTCGCTAGCGGTCACGTAGCACATCATTATATACCAGCTAGCCCAACTTCAGTAACCCTACAAACGTCACTGCTGTTTAGTTTTCTGTCTTCATTTATGCTGGAAGTGATAACAGAGCTGTACGTTTTAATTTGTTTCCAAAACCCCGCAGTCAGGACATGCTATATTGTATTTAGATAGAAGCTAGCGAGCTAACTCCCTGCTAACTTCTAACTCCGTTAAATGTCATAAATTCCGTTTTCATGGATGCCTGGATGTTAAACTCAATTGTTACACCTGGTAGAGCAGAACGCTGATCATTTTATTAAAGATGAAAGACTTTAGACAGTTTTTAAACTCTCAGTAATGCCATAGGGATCGTTTGATATATGGACCTACAGCGGAGTTTAGGTCCAGACACGACTAGTGACGTCAGACTTAACGACCGGATTGTTATTTTTGTATGTGCCCTGGTTACACTCCGCGTTGATTATTGTAATTCTGTCTTTTCTTGGTTACTTCTCCATAGTCGTCAGCTGGTCCAAAATGCAGTTGCTCGTGTAACTACCAGAACCGCTTCTGTAGAATATATTTCTCCTGTCCTTCAACAGCTTCACTGGTTGGCTGATTTTGAGAGATAATATTGGACCTGCTTTTCACTCTCCCCTCCAGCTCCTCCATGTTTGTCAACCTGCCTGTGTATGCACTGTGCTTGAAACGTTGGGG